TGTAACTACATTATTTATTCCCTTGTTTTGCTTTGTAGTTATCATTGTTTACAAATTGACATTTCTGGTTTCTTATTTTCAGTCCTGTAGGTTTATTTTATTTTTTATATTTCTATCTCTGGGTTGATTTTGGGGAGATATTGTCATGTCATGTTTCTTAATCTCAGCTTGTTGTCTGCTGTTGTTGCTTCTCTGTCCAAATGACTCTCTTTAGCATTTCTTGTAAGGTCGGTCTGGTTTATACAATTTCTCTTAATTTCTGTTTATCGGGGAATGTCCCAATTTTGCTATCATATTTGAAGGACAATTTTGCTGGATATATGATTCTTGGTTGACATTTTTTTTTTTTCTTCAGGGTTTTATATACATCATCCCATTTCCTTCTTGCCTGCATGATTTCTGGATAATGCACACACCAAGTCCACCATCTTGGATCCAGAACCTTTATTTTCAGTCTTGTAGGTTTATTTTATTTTTGATACTTCTATATATGGTCTGCTTTCCAGGTGATGTCGTCATATGTCTTAATCTCTGGCTGTTATCTGCAGTTCTTGGTTCTCTGTCCAGAGGACTCCATTTAGCATTTCTTGTAAGATTGGTCTTGCTTCTGTAAATTCCCTTAATTTCTGTTGATCTGGAAATGTCCTTATTTCGCCATCATATTAGGGTGACAATTTTGCTAGATGTATTATTCTTGAAGGAGCTCTGGTGGCGTAGTGCTTAAGGCATTTGACTGCTAACCAGAAGTTTGACAGTTGAAACCCACTCCATGGAAGGAAGAAAGACTGGGAAATCTACTTCCATAAAGATTTACCACCTCAGAAACCCAAAGGGGATCACTATGAGTCAGAATTGACTTGATGGTGGTGAGTTTTTTTTTTCTTGCGTTGTATCATTCTTGATTGGCATTTTTTTTTCAGGGTTTTGTATATGTAATCCCATTACATTCTTGCTTGCATGTTTTCTGCCAAGAAATCAGAGCTCAGTCTTATTGGTTCTCCTTTGTAGGTGACTTTTTGGTTTTTCCTAAGCTGCTTTCAGGATTCTTTCTTTGTCTCTGGTTTTGGAAAATTTGATTATGATATGTCTTGATGATTTTCTTTTGGTGGGTCTATCCTATTTGGGGTGCATTGAGTTGCTTGTATCTGCTTGTCTTTCATAATATTAGGGAAGTTTTCCTCCAACAAATCTGTGACAATTTTATCATTACTTTTATTGGTATCTTCCTATTCCAGAATTCTAATTACACATACATTATTTCTCTGGATGGTGTCTCATATAATTCTTAGGCTTTCTTCATTGTTGTTTTTGATTGTTCCTTTAACAGATTAGTATTGAGAGGTTTGTCTTCAATCTTGCTAATTTTGTCTTCCATTATTCAATTCTACTCCCTTATCTAATGCATTCTCTATTTCTGAAATTTTAATATTAATCTTCCAGATTTCCATTTGCTGTTTGTATATGGTTTCTAATTTTCTATTTATTTTTTCAATTTGTTCTTTTATTTCTTTTTAAATTCCTCTCATATTTTGCCTGTCTTTTCCCTTATTTTTTCTGTGATTTCCTCAAGTTTTCTCTCAACCATTGATGGTAACTAAATATAATTCTTTTGAACTCCTCATCATGTAGTTCCAGTAGCATTTATTCTTCCAGATGATTTTCTGGCCCTGTGTTTCAGTCATTTGTTTCAACCATCTTGTCCTGTGTGTGTATGTGTGTGTGTGTGATTTGAAGATATGTATTGTCTCTAAGACATTTTAGTGTTATTATATTTGCTTGTTGATTGTATTTAGGTTTGCTTTACCCTGATTTTTTGTTTTATTTGGTTTCAATATATCTGGCAACAAGGTGGGTATGTTACTTTGATCACTCATTTGGCAGCTTTGGGGCACTCATGATCTGCCTTCAAGTGGATTTGGCTGTGGGTGGGAGTGTGCATGAGAGTCTCTGATTTCTGATAGTATAGAGGACCTGGGGTGGTGTTGGCTTCTGTCTGTTGTTGATTCAGTGGTGCTGGAGCAGGTTGTGACACTTGTACAGTAGGTAGGGCAGCAAGTATGGTGGGTGTGGTTGGGTAGGGTCACTTTCTAGAGAGAAAAAGAAAGAAAATAAAAGGTACATAAGAAAAAAACAAGGCAGAAGGGTAGAGGGGAGACAAAAGAAGAAAGAAAAAAATCAGAAAAAAATTTAAAAAATGTGGCACAACATTGGTGCAAGCACTAGTTGCTGGACACAGCTGTGGTGGTAATGTGGTGCTTACTCTGTGGAAGCATGCACCACTGAATATGGAGAGTCAGGGATGGGTGCTACTGAATGTGTAGATGGTGTGTGGCAGGGCACCACTCAGCCAGATCAAAAAGAAGAAAGGAAAAAGGGATGTACAGTGTAGTAAACTACCTGGTATGGCTTTTCTAGCCATAAGTCTTTGTAAACTCTGTGGTGGAATTGGCCGTAAGCAACCAAGTCGCTCCTGATTTTTAGTTATCCACCTGGGGTATTTCTGTTGGGAGCAGCACAAAGCAATGTTCTGGGAAGTTTTCTATCACTATCTCAGGTGTATGTAATTCTGATGTTGGGATTGGTTAGTTTGGGCACTCTGCCAGGCTCAAAAGCAGGTCTCCTAGAGGCAGAAGGAGTCTTTCTGACTGCTGGCCGAGAAAGACATGCTGCAGAGAGAAATATGCTCCTGAGAGAGATGTGCTGCTGAGAAAGAGACACCGAGAGACATGCACTGCTAGGAGAGAGACTGAGAGAGACTGTTGGCTGAGAGACAGTGGGCTGAGAGAGACTGAGCATTGTTCATGAACTTGAATTTAGCCTGGTGCTTCCCTAATAAACCCCATAATCTGTGAGTTCTGTGTGGCCACTGCAGCAAATTCTCGAACCCAGTAGAGAGGTGGTGGGTGCTGCGGGAGGAACGGTTGGTGTCAGGGTTGGTGAAAGGGCTGGAGGGAAGAGGCATGTCTGGCCTCACAGGGATAGGCCTTGGGATACTGGTGGTGATTCTGTCTTCCTCTTGTGGGGTTGGAGGAGGTCAGAAGATGTGGCCTGCCTGCCCCTTTAGCAGGGAGTAAGAGGAAGAAAAAAGGAAAGAAAATATCAAGGAGGGAATGTGGGAAGAACTGAGAAAGAAAAGGACAAAAACAAAAACTGGCACAAGTGTTAATCACCAAACACAGATGCAATGGAAATACGGAGTTCACTCTAGGGGAGTATGCAATACATCCACAGAAGGTCATGGGTGGCCACTGAGGGGGATACACACCCACTCTGAAGAATCAAATTTTAAAAGAGGAGGAGGAAAAGAAAGAAGAGGAAAAACAAATGGGAATGAGGGAAGACCTAAGAAGAAGGAAAAAAGAAAAAAAATTAAAAGGAAGAAAAAAACAGCATGTTGTTGTTGTTGTTATGTGCCGTCAAGTCAGACCCGACTCATAGCAACCTCTCCTTGTGTTTCCGAGGCAGTATCACTATGGAAGTATACTGCCCAACCTTTCTTCCGAGGAGTGGCTAGTGGGTTTGAACCACCAGCCTCCTGGTTAGCAGTCAAGTGCCTTAGGCACTATGCTACCAGAGCTCCCAAAAAACAGCATACTACTAGCAAAAGTGCTAGCTGTCAAACATGGCTGTGCAGGAACACAGCACTTGCTCTTTGGCAGTGTGTACCTCTGACTGGGGAAGGGCAGAGGCAGGTGTGACAAACCACTTGGGTTGCAGTGGAAGGGGCACCTGCTCTGATGAATCTAAAGAAGATAAAGGGCAAGGGAAGAGGATTTAAAAAAAAGGAAAAAAAGGAAAGAAAGGGAAAAAGAGGGAACAACTAAGAATAAAGATAAAGGGAAATAAAGCAAAACAGACTGGCAGTGTGGGGTTTGACTGGCCACTGGGGGGGTGGGGGTGGGGAAGACTGCACCTCTGGTCACTGGGAGGGTGTGCAAAGTAAGCGGGGAGGTCACACCTCTCTGGTTGTCAGTCACTGATGTGGGTACTAGTGCAATCCTGGGCAATTGAATCCAGTTATCTGTTTTCTGCTCTGATCAGAAGGCTGCTCGCAATAATTCAAAATAGCCATGCTATGCTGGTTGAGAGTTTACCACTTCTTGTTCACTGTTTTTGTTCAGTCTCTTCCTCTCATTGATATTTGAACTATTTATTTATCCATTTTTTTCTAGCTCTGGGTTTCAGAATTGTCATCAGTATTTGTTTCACTTGGAATCTCTGGTCTTTGTTGAAGGGGGTCCGGATAGTGTATCTACCTTATCCAACATTTTAGAACCTTCTCCTGACAATAGTATTTAAATTTTATGTACCACAAGAGCCAGAACCATACCTATATTTGTCACTGCAGTATCCTCTCCCCCCAGACACCAATAACCACAGGAGAAAATATGCCAAACCTCATTCCAAGCACTGAGCATGATGCTTAGATACAAACAAAAAAAGGAAATGCAATGCTTACCCTGACAACAAACCAATTTGGCAATTTGGCCTGAGATCTTCTCAGATTATACTAGCTAAACAGAATTGGGCTTGATATCCCTGATTAAAGTATAAAAAGTCTAACAGTATTTCACGTGAGGATAGTACAGAAAAGAATAGGCAATATAAACACTCCTTCATGTAAGCTGTAAGAAAGGTTTTAGTCTTTATGCTTTAGCTGGCTACATTACAAGTCTAGTCTTACATCTTTGATTTTCTGCATACTGCATACTCCATTGTCCTGAGATGAGGCATTTAAAGTTTTCTTGGTAACTGAGGACCCAGTTACCAAGATCAATTTGAGAAGTTGTGGTACCTGAGGACAACAGGGAATGAGTTTGTGGGCAATGGTTTAGGGTGAAAGGGATTGACACAGAGATTTAATCAACAGTGCAGAGGCCTAACAAGGTAATAGTTACTTGGTACAATCTCTCACACTCCCAAATGCTCTAGAATAAAAAAGTTCCTTGGCCTGTGTACCAGGTACAACAATGAAATGAAAATGGAAATCCTTCACCTACCAAACGATCCGCAGAAAACATGAAGTCCCCTCTACTGGCTGTCCTAAAAAAAAATAGTAGCACAAGTTTTAGTCTACATTAAAGCTTTAAGGCAAAATATTACTTAAGACAAATAGTAATGTTTATATTAAGACCTATTATATACTAAAAGCTTGAAATCTTACATATACAGACTATTAGTGAGGCAAGACATTTTTCACTGGAATACAAGAACGTTTATGGATTGACTGGATGAATATTATTGGAAAATTCTTATTTGACAGCACCAGTAAGAGATAAGAATTGAAAAGATCATGCACTTCCCCACATATTATTCAGCTAAGAGATGAAAATATCTCCCCCATGGAAAATGTCAGCAAACCCATAGCTCAAGTTAAGAGGGCACTTTGTAGTAAGAAAACCAGGTCCTCCTCATCCTTCCCCTCCATTCACCTTGATCTAAAACCCACATTATCAAGGTCTCTAATACTTTTTAGAATAAGAATGGGTACAAACAAACACATAAATATTACACTTTTGCCATTACTTGCAAGAATGAGTACCTAATTACCAAGACCTCTTTCTTAAACTATTGATTTTGTTTTCCCTTTTGCCTGTTTTTCAATCAAGTACATTGTTGCCTAGATATTTCTGCTATTTTCTTGTATATATCCTTCTGGTAACTACTTTCATATTCCGGGGTACTCAAGTAAAAATTCAATTGTACCTACTTACAAGCTGTTAACCAGACCAAAGGAGAATGTTAAAAGTTTGATTTTTCTTCTGTAGGTGAAAATCTATATTGTTTCTCCTCCTGCTCCCATGTAAGCTAAATGATCTGACTGAAAGGAGTGATACACAGTTTGTGCATATAAAACTCACCATCTGCCTATCCATACCAAAAACCAAAATCAAACTCACTGCTGTCGAGTCAATTCCGACTCATAGTGACCCTTCCTTGGGTTTCTGAGGCAGTATCTCTATGGAAGTAGATTAGCCATTCTTCCTTCGGAGGAGATAGCATTTCTAAAATATTCCTCAATGTAGCATCAAAATGATATGTGAAAGCTTATATTCTCTCAGTATACCATTAATACTACTCTTATTTTTCAAGCTGCATTAACTTTCTCTGACAGAGAAAAGTAATCCAATATCTCTGACACTAATGGCATTAGGCTTCTTATGAAAAAGCATAGTTCTATCATATTACAAATATTAACTCTCTAAAATATAGATAATTGAGCAATAGCAAAAATATGGGTCTGTGGTCTTTATGTATAAATATTCTCTAAACTCAGAAAACTCTATGCACACACACACATACACACACCTATACACAAAGATAGCTCACTTGAAACAGGCACAATTTAATCTGTGGTTTTCAAATGAGACTGTAGTATAACAAACATCAGCACCTTTCATTTCTATAGCTAATCTTCACAAAATCCTTGTCAAGGTAGTTAAAGGCAGTGAACTACCAAAAAATATTGAATCCCATTGGTCTGTTTGCTACACCTATATAAACTTGTCTAGGCAACCAGAATATCATTTCTCAATTGGGAAGAAAAATCTCTATTTTTCTTAAAGAAATATCTAATAATATGCCTTGGGGACACATCTGAATTTTTTTTCTCTGAACACTACACATCAATTTATTACGCTCATTCCTCACCTACATACATAGACCAAGGGGCAGTCATTCAAACAGAACAAAGGAATACTGCATGAATTAAAATCACGAGGGACATGTATCAGGGTTGTATACTTTCACTATACTTATTCAATCTGTATGCTGAATAAATAATCCGAGAGGCTGGACTATATGAAGAAGAACAATGCATCAGGTTTGGAGGAGGACTCATTAACAACTTACAATATGCAGATGACACTATCCTGCTTGCTGAAAGTGAAGAGGATTTGAAGTACTTACTGATGAAGATCAAAGAATACAGTCTTCGGTATGGATTACACCTCAACATAAAGAAGACAAAAATCCTCACAACTGGACCAATAAGCAATATCATGATAAATGGA